ATTTACATGTAAACACAAAAGTCCAAGAACAGCCAAGACATTATTGAAGAAGAGAAACAAGGTGGAATATGAAGTATAAAGCTTAAGAATTAAATTAAGCTCAATAACTCAGTTTGGAATTATTGGAATTATTGGAGGCAGTATAAAATGGTTGTTAAGAGCATAAAGAGCCAGAATGCCTAGTTTTTACATTCAGGACATTAGATGAAGCTCTACTAGCTATGTGACCTCAAGAAGTTAACCTTTGTGTGCTTCAATGTCTTTATTGATAAAATTGGAAAACGAACTTCCGATCTCAATGAAATTTGTGAAGATTAAATAAGTTAATATTTATAAAGTATTCAGAACAGTCTCCTACGTGAAGTAAGACTATATGTATGTTTGCTACTGATTCAAGGATAAGTAAACCAATGGAACAAAATAGAAAGTCCAGAAACAAATCTACTCACATATCTACACCTAATATTTCATAGACATAGTACTGTAGACAAGAAAAGGACGGCTATTTCAATAAATTGTACGAGGAAATTCAAGTGTGAAAAAAACAAAATTGGACCCCAGCCTCAATCATATAAAAAAATCGATTCCAAGTAGAATGAAAGATCTAAAAGTGAACGGCAAAATTATATAACTTTTAGAAGACCAAGAAGGGGAATACCTTTATGAATTCAGAGAATGAAATGATTTAGAAGACACAAAATTCTCAAACCAAAAAGGAAAAGAATGATAAATTCTACTTCATTAAAATTAAGAACTTTTGTTCATCAAAAGACACCATAACGAGGGGCCTGCCCGATGGTGTAGCAGTTAAGTGTGTGTGCTCTGCTTCGGCGGCCTGAGGGTTCACAGGTTCGGATCCCAGGTGCGCACCGAGCACTGCTTGTCAAGCCATGCTGTCGTGGCGTCCCATATAAAGTAGAGGAAGATGGGCACAGATGTTAGCCCAGGGCCAATCTTCCTCATAAAAAAGAGGAGGATTGGCATCGGATGTTAGCTCAGGGCTAATCTTCCCCACCAAAAAAAAAAAAAAAAAAAAAGGCACCGCAATGAGAAGATAATAACCAGACTGAGAATAACTATTTGAAACATATATAAACTAAGCAAGGAATAATGTACAGAATACTAATGATTTCCTACAAATCAATAAGGAAAAAAATAAATAACCCTTCCCCTAAAATTGATAAATTAAATCAGGGGTCAGCAAACTACAACTGGAAGGATTAGGTAAGAATGTTGTCACACTTTTAAGGTAATTGAAAAATATCAAAAGAAGAATAATATTTTGTGACATATGTAAATTATATGAAATTCACATTATCCATAAATAAAATTTTATTAGAACACAGCCAAATCACTCATTTACATATTATCTACAGCTGCTTCCACACTACAATAGCAGAGTTGAATAGTTATAACAAAAACTGCCTGGCCCACAAAGCCTAAAATATTTACAGTCCGGCTATTTACAAAAAAAGTTTGCTGATGTCCGAGTTAAACTAATAGGCATTTCGTAGAAGAGCAAACATAAGTAGCCCATAAATACATGAAAAGATGTGCAATTTCATTAGTAGTAAGAAAAATACAAATGAAACACCATATTATATACTCCAGATCTTCAAAACTTTAATGTCTGACAATTTCAAGCATTGGCATTAAAGAGAAACACCAAATCTGTCTTCTTCTACTCCTTCTTCTTCTTCTTTTTTTTTTTTTTGGTGAGGAAGATTGGCCCTCAGCTAACATCTGTTGCCAATCTTCCTCTTTTTGCTTGAGGAAGATTGTCCCCGGGCTAATATCTGTGCCAATCTTCCTCTATTTTGTATGTAGGACACTGCCACAGCATGGCTTGATGAGTGGTGTGTAGGTCTGCACCTGGGATCCAAACCAGCGAACCCCTGGCCACCGAAGCGGACCGCTGAACTCAACCACTATGCCACTGGGCCAATCCCTCTCTTCCACTTCTCCTGGAGGTACATGTGCCACTAGAAATAGATTCTCTGAAAACGCTTGCATGAGATACATACAAGAATATACTAGGAGACATACAAGACTAGTTATAGCAGTAGTGTTCATAGAAACAAAAAAGTAGAAACAACCCAAATATCCATGAACAGACCATTGAATAAACAGCTAATAATATATTCATACTATAGAATACTACACAGTAATAAAAATGAATGAACTATACCTACACACATCAACATGGATACATCTCAAAAATATAATGTTGAATGAAAAGAGCACATATGAAATGAATAAATATAACGTTGAATGAAAAAAATACATAAAATATGATGTCCTTTAAAAAAGGGGGAGGCAAAATGAAACAAGGTATTATTTAAGGATTCATACATAGTTGGTAAAACTTATTAAAACCACAAAAATCAGGACATTGTTAACTCCATGAGGAGACAGTAGAATGCAGTCAGGTTAGGACATATTGGTAACTTCTGAGGTAGGCTCTATTACTTTGTTTGAGAACTGGGCATAAACGTGTTTGTTTTACTGTTGTTCTTTAAATTACATTATATGCTTTTGTGTATATGCTATATTTCAAGATAAAATATATGTTTCCAAAACACCACAAAACTGGGTAATACATTGTTTTAGGATGCAAATATATGTGGTTAAAAACTATAACAAAGAGTAAGGAGGAAAAAAGGCAACGATATAAAATTTATATAATGTTTTGTATTGAAAAATGTAAAGAATAATAGAATCAAAACCACATATGTGCAACAAATTCCAAACAAGACACATTACCAAAACTGACTAAAGAAGAATTAGAAAATATAATTAGACCTATATCAAGTAAAGAAATAGAACAATAACTAAAAGTCTTTCCCCAAAGAAAACCTCAAGGCCAGATAGCTTCACTGGTGAATTCCAAACAGTTAAGGCAAACATAACACCAATTCTACACAAATCTTTTAGAAAATAGAGGAGGAGAAAATACTTCCAAATCATTTTATGAGAACACGTCCAAATCATTTTATGAAGCCAGTATTAGCCTAATACTAAAGACAGAAAAGTAGACAATAGTTAGAAATACTTAGGTACCTATAACCCAGAATTAACAAGCATTAATATAACTGGATAATCTTTTTAAACATTCACTTTTAAAACATTTTTCTATAAAGAAGGTGTAATGAAGAAACTAATTTGCAATGATATCTTATTTCATAAGAATGTCAGGATCAGTTAGAATACTTTCCAGCTTATATCACACATAAATAACAGTATCTGTATAATGATACTAGGGAAAATGGAGGATGCTGCTGCAGGATAGAGTCAAATAGTCTGAGGACTCCAGGCGTCCTTTACCCAACTGTCCAGAAAGCTGAGGTACTCAATGTATTATTATTATTTTTTAAAGATTTTATTTATTTATTTTTTCCCCCCAAAGCCCCAGTAGATAGTTGTATGTCATAGCTGCACATCCTTCCAGTTGCTGTATGTGGGACGCGGCCCCAGCATGGCAGGAGAAGCGGTGTGCGCCCGGGATCCGAACCCGGGCTGCCAGCAGCGGAGCGCGTGCACTTAACCGCTAAGCCACGGGGCCGGCCCAACTCAATGTATTATTATACCTAAAACCTGTTCAGGGCACAATAGTGTGTCACATCACAATAACTAGGAAGCTCTGATCTAGGGCAAAAAGCTTATCTCTCTGGCTCCTTGACATGTAGAGAGTTACTGAACAAGGTATAGTTTGTTTAAAAATCAGGTACATTGGAATCAAAGTCAATGAAGAGGGAGAGCAAAATAGGGGTGGGGCGAGAAGACAGAAGTGAGAAACTTCTCCTTTTGTAGCTTTTTGTAAGTTGGATTTTTAACCTTATAGATGCATTAAAAATAAAATTACAGAGAAAAAAAGTAAATGCCTTGGGTTATAATATCAGTTCCACTACTAACTACTTGTATGACTTTTGGTAAATGCATTTATTTGTGTGAGCTTTACTTTCCAGACAGGGCAAATAAAATAGATAATCTACTTCTTAAATGCTCTAATACTACGATTTTTTAAAAATAAAAGCAATAGAAGCAAATTAAACCTGAAAAATTTGATTTCTGAAAAAAAAAATTTTTCCAGAAGCCAAAAATTTGGCTTCTGGAAAAATTTCTTGTTCCTTATTCCTAAGCGCCATGCACCTTTGATGTTTTGGGACTCTTGTTATCTCACGCTAAAAAGCCCTAATAAAATATAAGGAATAAGATTTTTATTTAACATAAAAATCAGGTCATCACTGTATCTCATCAGTATTACTGGCTAAGCCTATTCATCTATTTCCTTTCTTTCTGTTACACTTCAAACTCTGACTTCCTGACTCAACAACTATCTCAGGCTTTTCTGATCCTACTTTTGATATTCTCTTCACTCTCTTAAATATACCATCTTACCTAGATGCTACACTGTTCAAAAATTACCTGTCCACCTCCACAACAGCATCTAGTCCAAGAACCTTACTGTCTTACACCCAGTAACAAAATACCTATCCCTCAACCACTAGCCATCCAGTTCAAAGGACTCACAACATTATAACTGCTATAGTACTAGTAAGCATCCATGAAAATAAAAATCTCATTTATTCAATCTGACTTCATATCCTCTGCTGCTGAAATCTGAAATGCCTTACAAGGTTCAGAGTATTTGAAGAGAAGAGCAAAAGGAAAAAAGTAAAAAAGGCATTTACAAGCCCCCTCACTCCCACCATCCCCACAGACCCCCCGCAACTGTGTTCTAGAAACATTACTTACACTTATTTCATTTATGAGATACTTAATCCTCATTTTACAAATAAAGAAACAAAATCCAAGATCAGGCCACACAACTATTTAGGAACAGAGCTTCTTAAAACCCATTTACGCCTAACTCCAAAACCCATGGACATAATAAGCCACATTGCTAAAATCCAACGACTATCTAATTTACACCTACGACCAATCTTAAAGGACAATCACATCTAATGATGTATTATTAATTAATAGTAACAAATTCCTACCTTTTTGTATACAGCTGTTACATCAGAATCCAAAACAATTATATTCCTTAGCTTTGCATTTATTTCAGTTACTGAAGGCCTCATTATCATCTCAGAATCAAGCCCTAAGGGAATAAAAGAATGATTAAATGACTTCTCTTTCATTTAATAGTTCTGAATTTATTTTTTCTGAAGTTTTATTACCTTCAATCTTAATTTCAGAAATGTTACGTTTCTGATCTTGAATAAAGATCTGTAAACATGATAATTCTGCTAAAATCTGCAAGGTAATAATATCTTCACTCTTGGGTAGTTTTAAAGCTGCAAAAAAAAATCATATCGTAAAATATAAGGAAAAACTTTTAGTAGTTACCTCACTACAGTTATAAGTAACTGAAATATCACACCAAATGATGATAATATGAAAGGAAAACCTGATTTACAATTCAATTGTAAGCAAGCAAGATATTCCCTACTAAATTAGGAATTCTAAAAAACAATCAAATCTAATGAAAACAAAGCCACACAAAAGCAAACAGACAAAACAAAAAACAGCTCCTCGATGAGGCTAACATTTGAAATTAAGAAACTGTAGTTGTAAAATCATAAATCTTTTGAGATTTACTAGGTGATACTTGCCATTATCAAACTGTAACTTTTCACAACTTAAAAAGTATTCTGATTTAAAAATATACTCTGATACTCAAATTTTGTTAGTTCTATTTTTCTAATATACAATAACGATACTAGATGCATGAATTTTAATCTAAATCAAATACTTATACTGTATAATCTTCGATTAAAAAAAAGGATAGATAAATAAAAGCCATATTTTCTTCAGCAGTAATCACTTTTCTTTACTATTATTTTTTAAAATTACCTGGTAAATAATGAACCTTTCTAGATATAATCTAGGCAATAGAATTCTGAAGCCAATACTATAAGTTAATAATAAAGCAAGAGCCAAAATTCACTGATCTACTTGGTAAAAAAAAAATAGAAGTTGCATTTTAAAGAAACATACATATTTTTTTAATGACTTCTCCTTTGTCTTCACTCTCTGCAACATACACTGAGGCTGATTTTTCCTCCAATTGTGGAAGGATATTATTAAAATAATTTATTGTATTCAGAAGTGCTTCAGTATGTAAATGAATATCCAAAGAGGAAAAATTCACCTGAAGAACAAAGTTGATTTTAGTAATAGGTCAATAAATATTTGTTTGCCTGTCCTGTATAAGATACTATGCTTTGTGGTATAAAAGATACAATTTATCCACAAGGATCTTATGGTTCTAGTTATAAAATAATTTTCAAAATATATTTACTTATAAATACAGTTTCTAATTAAAAAACCAATTCATATTCACTCATACCTTAATCAGTTGCACAACATTGTTATAGGTACTTTTCAAGTTGGGTACATTGTTTTCAGCCTATCCAAAGAGAAAAAAATCAGAATATCTTAGGAAGACATATGTATATACAATTATATAATGGTCTTAACATACATTTATATAATTTTCCAGCTATTTATATATATAATTATCTAAACAAACAACTGCTTCACCACAACAAAAGAAATTTGCTAAGCATAGTACTCTCTCACACATGGCAAGTATTCAACATATTATGTACTATTTCTCTTACTATCAAAAGTGCAAATTTAGGTATTATCAAGTGTGGACAACAATCTTTCAGTCATCAACAACTCTGTAAGGTCCTTTGAATTCTTCCTGTATGTGAAAAAAATTTGTGACAGAACTGTCCACCAAGTACCCAAATACTCTGCGTTATTTTTAGATCTTTACTCTATTAAAGATCTTTAGATCTTTAGATTTCTTTTGTAATACAAAAGCTATTTAATGCATAAAAAACAACAAAACCCCTAAAATATCTACATCAATAATAGTAAAAATGGTCTTAAAAGTGGTAAAATGCTCTTTTGGCACTATTCTCATTATAAAGTAATTATTAAAATAACATGGCACTTACATAAAAATAGGTCACATAAAAACTTATAAGTGATGAATCATAAATCAATAGGGAAGGAATGGTGTCACTGACACCAGGAAAATTAGGTAACTTCAGACAATGGTAGGAAATCAAGTGAAAGCCTCATCTCGCATCATATACCACAATAAATTCCATAAAGATTATAAAGTTGATTTCTTTTGGATATCCTAATGGGGGAAAAAAGTCAACCTGCAGGACATTTCTACTTATAACGTAGGCTTCTTATTATTTTGCTATATGAAGTATTTATAAATCCCAACTATTTAATAGAGGATGACAAAACAAAAAAAAAAAACCTTAAAGTTTTAGGAGATATAGAGATCACATTAGAATGAAGATTAAACTGAATATTACTAAACTTACAAAAACTTGATTATAACATTTCAGCAGAACACTTATAGCAAGAACTGCTTACCTTCACATATTCCAGTGTTAACAGATCTTCCATTGTGTTATCCAGTGTTGTAATCAAATAAACTGGTTTCTTATTTGCATCTAAAAATACATTTAAACACTATTCTTTCATAGGAAAACTAACGGAAAATAAATGTAGGAAATATTAATAATTATAGAATTGAAAAAGAAGGATTTTCTGTATCACTTGTGAGCCTTGGATTCCATCTTGCCCAAGTCAGGTCCCTCCCTCCTTTATTTTAAACTCTAAAAATTTAATTTCTTCTCATAATTCCCTTCCCTTCTCTTATGCTACAACCCTAAAGACTCTTACCCTTATAAACCTAGGTAGGAGGTAAGGTAAGAAAAAGTAGCAATCAGTTAAAGAAGAAACAGAATGGTTATTATGAACAATGAAAGGACATGAGGAAAATTCTGGCCCTGAGCCACAGAAATCGCTAGAAAGAAAATTGTCAGACTCTCTGAAAACCTAATTGTTAAGAAGACAGATCAGGTATGTGATGAGAAACTAAGTTTTTCTGTATATTAGTCTAGATTAAAATAAACCCTAATACCATATAATCAGTCTTTATCAATTGTATTATTGCTTCTCCTCAAAATCTAAGAAAATAAGTGGGAAAACTGCTGTAGAAGAGTATTTTGTATAAAACTTTTAAAAGTATTATCACCAAATTACTTATAGCTCCTGGAAATCAATATTTAGATACTGGAAGAAAAGACAACAAATCAATCATTCCTCTCTTAAAGAAAAAATGCAACATATTACACAGAATCCTCCAGATTTAAACACTCATTAGCACTTAAGCCAGTCTTCTCCTGCAGGCACTAATCACATTTCAACCCTTAAGAAGATCCTCACTCTTTTCACACATTTATTCATTTAACAACTATTTACTGATCATTTACTTTGTGTAAGAATCTGTGCTATTCAATTCTTTCCACTCCCTCTAAGCGGAGAAGCAAGAATATTACAGAAATAGGTGCAGTGATGATTGTATATCCTGTATTCTGTGTGCGTTTTCCTACTCTTTGCTCTTGAAAAAACAAACAAAAATTAAAAACTGGTATAATAACTTCTGGATTACTGGAGAACACTATCAAGTTGATTCACTTTTCTTTCCAATTACCAAAGCAAACTGTTTCTTGGTGTAAAAAGCAAAATAAAACAAAACTCTCTATCTGCTATGTATGATGGTTTTCTTAGCAAAAGATTATTTTAATGCAATCCACCACACTCAAGTTCTCAAGGGCTACAGAACCAGTGTAGAGTATGGAACTAAAATGTATAAATCATATCCAACGACTGAGCTTGCAGACCATAATACTTAATTTGCTTCCCAAAATACAAAGATCATATTTAATCCAACGCTCAAAAAAAAAAAAAAATGAAGTTTTCATGATACTAGTTAACTGACATCTTTGCCTGGGAATGAGATCCTAGAGAAGATGGGCTTCTTAAATCTTTAAGATGTATATAAGTATATTCTCTACTTCTCTTAATTCCCACAGATAGAAATTAGGATTTCAATTTTCACTTTTAGTTTAGTTCTGCAACTACCTTATTTTCAGTATCTCAATTTACTGGGGGGGGGAAAATCCTAAATGAGTTCAAAGTATTCACAAGATAGCTTCAATTTAAAACTTGAATAACTCATAGACATTAAAAAGTCAATAATCCAAAAAACGTCAGATTCCAGGATGGCCAAAAGTAAAGTACTTTTATACACATGTAAGCAGAACACATTTATGTGGTCTCAAAAATAAAGGTAAAGCACTACTACCTTTAATCTAAAAAAAAAATTTTCAAGCCAACTATATCAATAATCAGTTTGAATGTCAATGGTCTAAATGCACCAATTAAAAGACAGAGATTGCCAGAGTGGATCAAAAAATCAAGACCCAACGATATATTGTCTATAAGAAACCCACTTCAAGTATAAAGAAACATACAGATAGACAGCAAATGGATGAAGAAAAATATATCATGCTAACACTATAAAAAGAAAGCAGGATACCTATATTAATTTTCACACAGAGCAGACTTCAAAGCAAGAAAAGTTATCAGGGATAAAAAAAGGCATCACATAATGATAAAGGGGTCAATTCTCTGTGAAGACATAACAATCCTTATTCTTCTTCTTTGGCTTCTGTATATCTTCTTTGGTGAGATGTCTGTTAAGGTCTTTGCCCCATTTTTTCATGTTGTTCATTTCTTCTTGCTGAATTTTAAGAGTTCTTTGTATATTTTGAATAACAGTCCCTTATCAGACGTGTCTTTTGCAAACATTTTTTCCAAGTGTGTGTGGCCTTTTATTTTCTTGACAGTGCCCTTTGCAGAGCAGAATTTTTTAATTTTAATGAAGTCCAGTTTATCAGTTCTTTCTTTTATGGATCATACTTTTGGTGTTGTATCTAAAAAGTCATTGCCAAATTCAAGGGCATCTAGATATTCTCCAATGTTCTTGAAGTTTTATAGTTTTGCATTTTATATGTAGATCTGTGGTCCATTTTGAATTGATTTTTGTGATAGATGTAAGGTCTGTGTCTAGATTCTTTTTTTGCACGCGGATGTTCATTTGTTTCATCAACATTTGTTAAAAAGACTTTGCTCCATTGTACTGCCTTTGCTTCTTTTAGTTTGAAGTAGTCTCACTTGTTTATTTTTGCTTTTGCTGCCTTTGCTTTTGGTGTCAAATCCAAAAAAATCATTGCCAAGACTGATGTAGAGGAGCTTACTGCCTATGTTTTCTTCTAGGAGTTTTATAGGTTTAGGTCTTACAATTCAAGTCTTTAATCCATTTTGAGTTAATTTTTGTATATGGTGTAAGATAGGAGTCCACTTTCTTTCTTTCACATGTGGCTGTCCAGTTTTCCCAGCACCATTTATTGAAAAGACTGTCCTTTCCTCATTGTATATTCTTGGCTCTTTTGTCGTAAATTGACTATATATTCATAGGTTTGTTTCTGGACTCTATATTCTTTTCCATTGATCTATGTGGCTGCTTTTATACGAATACCATATGTTTTCAACAATATAGCTTTGTAATATAGTTTGAAATCAGGGAGCATGATGCCTCCAGCTTTGTTCTTCTTTCTCAAGATTGCTTTGGCTATTTGAGGTCTTTTGTGGTTCCATACAAGTTTTAAGATTTTTTTTTTTCCTGTGAAAAATGCCATTAGAAATTTGATAGGGATTGCATTGAATCTGTAATTTACTTTGGGTAGTATGGACATTTTAACAGTATTGATTCTTCCAATTCATGAGCACAGAATATCTTTCCATATATATGTGTCTTCTTCAATTTATTTCATCAATGTCTTAGAGTTTTCACTTTACAGGTCTTTCACCTCCTTGGTTAAATTTGTTCCTAGGTATTTTATTCTTTTTGACGCAATTGTAAATAGGACTGTTTTCTTAATTTCTCTTTCTGATAATTCATTATTAGTGTATAGGAATGCAACAGATTTTTGTATACTGATTTTGTATCCTGCAACTTTACTGAATTCAATGATTAGTTCTAACAGTTTTTTGGTGGAGTCTTTAGGGTTTTGTATATTAACATCATGTCATCTGCAAATAGTGACAGTTTTACTACTTGGGTTAATGAACAATTACTGCAAATAGTGACAGTTTTACTATTGAGTGAACAAAGAAATCAAAAAGAAATTTAAAAATACCTTGAGACAAATGAAATAGGAAATACAACATACAAAATTCTCGGAATGCAGAAAAAGCAATTCTAAGAGGGAAGAGCACAGCAATAAATGCCTACCTCAAGAAAGAAGAAAAATCACAAATAAACAACCTAACTTTACACCTCAAGAACCTAGAAAAAGAGGAAAAAGCCCAAAGTTAGTAGAAAGAAAGACATAACAAAGGTCAGAGCAGAAACAAATGAAATAGTAGCTAAAAAGACAATAGTAAAGATCAATGAAACTAAGAGCTGATTCTTTGAAAAGATAAACAAAATTGACAAACCTTTACCTAGACTCACAAAGAAAAAAAGAGAGAAGTCTCAAATAAAATCAGAAAAGAGGAGATGTTACAACTGATAACACAGAAATACAAAAGATCATGAGACTATTATGAACTATTACATGCTAACAAATTATACAACCTAGAAGAAATGGATAAAGAAACATACAACCTTCCAAGACTGAATCATCAAGAAACAAAAAATCTGAGTAGACCAATTACTTGTAAGGAGACTGAATTAGTAATCAAAAATCTCCCAACAAACTGAAGTCCAAGACCAGGCAGCTTCACTGGTGAATTCTACCAAACATTCAATGAAGAATTAATACCAATCCTTCTGAAACTCCTCTAAAAAATAGAAGAGGAAGAAACACTTCCAAACTCATTTTAGGAGACCAGCATTACCCTGATACCAAAACCAGACGAGGATGCCACAAGAAAAGAAAATTACAGGCCAATATCCCTAAGGAACATAGATGCAAAAATCTCAACAAAATATTAGCAAACCGAATTCAACAATACATTAAAAGGATCATACACCATGATCAAGTGGGATTTAGTGAAAAATGCAAGGATGGCTCAACAACTGTAAATCAATGCAATACACCACATCAACAGAATGAGGGATAAAAATCACACGATCATCTCAATAGATGCAGAAAAGGCATTCGACAAAATTCAACACCCATTTATGATAAAAACTCTCAACGAAGTGGGTATAGAGTGATTGTACCTCAACATAATAAAGGCCACATATGACAAGCCCACAGCTAACATCATACTCAACAGCAAAAAGCTAAAAGCTTTTCCCTCTAAGATCAGAAACAAGACAAGGATGCCCACTCTTGTGGGTACTCTCCACAGTGTCCCTTCATTGCATGGATGTTCAAGATATCCTCTCCCAGATGCAGTGGAAAGTATAATAGTCTAATAGGAAGATGTTCCTAAACAGCTACCTGCCACTTCTACACAACAAGTATTGGAAGTTCTAGCTGGAGCAATTAGGTTAAGAAAAACAAATAAAAAGTATCCAAATTGGAAACAGTTTATCTGAATCATTCCATCAACCATTCAGAATTATCTTTCAAGGAAAAACCCAAAAATGTAAGGGAGGAAATATAAATAATACTCTCCTAAATGCCCAACACAGCAAATGGAAATATTTTCTAAGGTATCATATAACTCATCCATTATGATTCTAGGACATAAAGTGTTTGTGGTAGGCAGAATAATGCCATGCCCTTTCCCCTACAAGGATGTCCATGCTCTAATTCTCAAAAACCTGAGAATATGTTACCTTATATGGCAAAAGGGAGTTTGCAAAGGTGATTAATGTTAAGGTTAAGGGGAAATTATCCTGGGTTGTCCAAATGTGCCCAATCTAATCACCTTAGTTTTTAAGAGTGGAAGCAAAAGGCAGAAGAAAAGGTTAGAGAGATGACAGCATGAGAAGGATCTAACACCGCATGCTAGTTCTGAGATATAGTGGACAATGTGCAATGACCTAGAGAGACCTCTAGGAGCTAAGGCCAGGCCTCACCCACAGACAGCAAGGAAACAGACTTAAACCACAGGAAATTAAATTCTGACAACACCTGAGTGAGTCAGGGACTAGATCTTCCCCTAAAGCCTCCAAAAAGGAAGTCCAGTTGATACCCTGATTTTTGCCTGTTGAGACTTGTTTCAGCCTTCTGATCTACAGAACTTATAAGATAATAAATTTGTGTTGTTTTAAGAGACTAAGTTTGTGGTAAATTATAACAGTATCAACTAATTCAGTGTTGTAATATACAGTTAAGTAGATTTAAAATTAAACCATGACTTTTATTTTCCTTAATGAAAAAAATTATCTTCATTTTATCTCTGATCTACCCCCCAGATTGCCAAGTATAAGATACAAGTTGAAGACTAACTCATAATGTAATATTTCTCTGAGGATTTTTTAGCAAATATACTGATTTAAAGTCTAGAGAATTTAAAATTCACTAGCAGGTAGTAAAACAATAAAACTAATTTATTTATTTTAAAAGATAGAGATTCTTACCAAAGTATTCTGGGCATTTTAAGCAGAACTCTTTCAAAAAGGCATTTGCTTTCAAATCAAATGTTCTAAGCTCAATTTCTGTGCCCAATCCTAAGACATCGATTTCTACCACAGGTAATTCACAATCTCCAACAAGGTGATAAAACTGAATCAAAACCTGGAGAAGAAAAAAAAAAAGAAACTACCACTACCTAAAACAAAAAATTGTTTATGTGGATGGTGGTTATATATGGATATATGAGGTATATATACAATATAAATGATATGTACTAAAATTTAGGAGAGATTTTATATGCACACACACATACAATTACACACTTACGCTGTACAATTATTTTCAGTAAATACATATTGAATAACCACAATACATCATCTAAACCCCTAATTCTGATTAAGGAAATTAATCTTCAAAGAAAGGGAAGGAAGAATCACAAAGCAATGTTTGGATTCAGCTTAAACAGGATAAAAACAACAGAGCCTATTAGTAGGTAATGAGACTATATAAATAAGCTGTGAATAGCAGAAATGTCAAACAGTTTAAATAAGCCATATTAATTTTACCACCGTACATACCTCTGGCACTTCAAATCTTATTTTATACTGAGTCATATTTTTTGAACAATCCGGCTTCTGAAACTTTTTCTGTTGATAACTTTTAACTATAGTCGGAGATGGAAGAGGCTCCTCCAAGGGACTACACGGTGCATCAAAAAATTCCTCCTCTGAATCTAAATATCATAGAATATTGTTTAAGTCAATAATGAAAATGATTGATTTAATAACATTTTCATAATTTTTCTGAAACAAATATGAAGACAAACACTAACAGTCTATTTCAAAAATTGAATGTAAAAATAAAGAGATTACATCTGAGCAAATAACATTCTGGATGAAAAAAAAGTGTGGAAAAGTAAAAGATGCAATCATCAGATTAATGAACATCATCTTTTAAACATCATCATCTTTTAAAATCCTTAGTCTATCTAAAGCCTGCCATAGAAAATTTTATAGCAAATGTCAATGCCAATGATTATATATACCATCAATACTCATAGGAACACACTAATATTAATATGCTCATTCTACCTGGATAGTAAAACAGGACTTAGTCACAAACTCTGCAATACTAAAAGCAGAAAGCAGGCCTTGAAGTCTGAATGAAGAAACTGAGATTTACCACCAGTTTCTAGAAAACAAATTTCTAGAATTTGCTATTAAAAAGGAACCAGAAACTAGTAAAACCATTAAGAGAAGGTTTAAAGCAAACTAAAACCATCTGAAGTATATCCCTAATACCCTAAGATCGAATTTAAGGTACATGATCTCACAAACAAAATCTCTTTCCTGCCCTCCCCTCCCTGGTCACCACACACAAAGGAAAAAATGCTCTGGAAAACCAAGGATCAACATGGCAATTTCTGTTATTTAACATTTAACAATTTTAAAAGTCTTAAAAATAAAGAAATACATTTATTTTTCTTTCCAGTGTGGATAAGAAAAAGCATATATTTGATATCAAAATATTTACCAGTTTTCATGTGTGATACAGGAATTAAAGCTTGATTTTTTTCCGTTAACAAAAAAGGAAAATATAAAAAGTAAGAAAAAAAAAAAATTTTTTTTTACCATAACCAAATTTTCCAAATAGCTAACATTTAATAATACATTGGGTATAAAAGTAACATTTAATAATACATTAAGTGTAAAAGTAACAGTAACACATTATAAATTAGACATCTACAAAGTTTCATGGGTTCTCAGCTCACAGTAGGATAAAGATGATTAACTTAGTAGTGGTCCTTGCGATTATGAGTTCAACTTTCACACACAGAAAATTCCACTGCAAAAGCCACTTAAGAAACATCCAAATTATTTTTAAACGAATGTTAGTAAAAATTTACAAGTATCTGCTATTGCCTGAAATTTTTATATGGTCTCAAAATGAAAATTATTTTCATAAAATATTAAAAAAAGGAAAATTTCCTAAAGCAGTTTCATTTTACCATCTTCAACACATGGAATTTCCAAGAGAGGATACATTTTCTGTGAAATCTGTGACGTTCCCAAAGAAGTGGACCTTTGAATCTGAAAGAAAAGTAATTTACTGTCAATTAGCACAAAGACTTTTATTCAAAGTTTTAAACAGTTTTGACCAAAACAAACAAAACCCTCAATTTGAATTAACTGAGAAAAAAATCCAGTCTTAGATTTAGACTAGCAATTAGAATTAGAAACATAAATTGTAAAATGTAGATTTAAAAAAGTGGTTTTACAATTTCAAGACAATATAAATTGTGTTATAACTGTAGTAATAATTTCCTTGTTGATAGACTTTGAGTAGGAAGAGATCTGAAATATATCTTAACTCAATGTCTTACTAAATAAGGAAGCCACCTCCAGGACACCCATAAGAAACAACCAAAAGTTTCAATATTTAAAGCTTCTAGAGTGAAGGAACTTGCAATTTTATTTTTTTTTTTTTTAAAGATATTTTAGCAAATTTACTTTTTTACTGTTCTGGGAAATACAGCATACAAAAACACATAATGCAGTCTAAAAAATAATAATGAAAGACACTCCTCAATTTTTCACCCAGGCCAAGAAACAAAACAGTACTATACCCTTACCTAGAAGCATCTTACATGCTCCTCTTTGATCACAATTCCTATAACTGATCATAACCTGTTTTTAACGTCCTATGAATGATTTTCTAAATAATACACTGTTTACCTCTGCTTCTTTCTAAACTGTAGAAAAACGGAATGTTGTCGCATATATTTTCCTGTAACATTCTTTTTCTACAAAACAATCTTTAAATTTTATCCATATTGATAGTTTACTCATTCTCACTGCTATATTGTATTGCAATGATGAATAAACCACTACTTATTTGTCCATTACACTGTTGGTAAATATTTGTATTGTTTATAGATTTTTGCTTTTGCTCACAGTGCCACTATAAGCATCCTTGAACACGCCTCCAGGTGCTCATATGCAAGATTTTCCATAGTGTATATATCAAAGAGTGGAATGCATATGTTCACCTTACTAAGTACTATCAATATATTTTTACAAGTGGTTGCAACGCACTACACTAACGTCAGCAGATTAGAGTTTCTATGGCTCCATATCCTCACGAATGCTTAGCATTGTCAGACATTTTAAATTTTGTCAATCTCGCTAGCAATTTCACCTTAATTTTAAGTAGAATTTCACAAATGTGTAATAATTACACATCACATCATAGGTTCATGGATTGGGTTTGTCCTTCTCTGAATCTTGTCCATTTTGGGAAAACATTTTCATTGAAATATAACCTACTACACAGAAGTATAAAATTCAATAAATTTTCAAAAAGAAAACACACCCATGCACCCAAAATCCACATCCAGGAATAGAGGGATTACCAGCAACTCAGAAGCCTCCCTCATGCTCCTCACAATCATTAGGCATTCCCCCCAAAAGTAACAACTACACTGCCCTAATTTCAATTTTTAATGATCTGAAATTTTTTACGTCCACATTCATGAAAGAATGGTTTTGTTTTGCACTTTCCTATGAGTAAAAAAGTCTAACATCTTTTCACATGTCTGCTCATTTCTTATTGGGCTGTTGGTCTCCTTATATATTTTAGATAAAGCTTCCTGTAAATTTATGTGCTACCAATATTTTCCCCAATTGGATGGCTTGTCTTTTTCATTTTTAACAGTGTCTTTAAAATGCAGAAAATTTTCATTTTCATCAAGTGTCATTTATTTTTTTCTTCTATATTTGTGCTTTTTTATTCCAAAATATCTTTACCTACCATAAGTACTCAAAGATTTTCTATAATGTTTTTTTGTTAAAGACCATTTACATTTAGGTCTATATTCCATTTCAAGTTAAATTCCGTGTATGGTAAAAGCTAAGGGTTGATGTTCATTTTTTTTTTCCCCACATGAAAATCTTGTTATTTCAGAACCATTTGTAGAAAGGACTATCCTTCCCCCACTTAGCTGGGTCAACACCTTTGTAAGAAATCAAATATATATTAATTATATATTCTATTGTGGATTTATTTCTTGAGTCTGTTCTACTTTATTGATCTATAAGTCTATTCTTATGTCAGTACATCACTTTCTTGAATAAAGTAGCCCCTAAAATAAGCTCTGAAATCAAGATTTAGAAATCTTCCAACATTATTCTTATCCAAAATTTGTTGGTAATTGGATCCTTTGCATTTCCATATATACTTTATAATAAGCTTGTTAATTTTTAGAAGAAAAATCTTCTGGTACTTTGATCACTATTGTGAGAAATCTATGGAGTTTGGAGAGAATTGCCATCCTAATAAATTCAGTCCTCCAATCCCAGACTACGTATATCATTCCACTTATTTAGGTCTTCTCTCATTTTTTTCAGAAATGTTTTGTAGTTTTAAGTATATAAGTCTTATACTTCTTTTGTTAAATTTTTCCTAAGTATTTAACCTTTCTTAACACTATTATGAATGGAAAATTTTTCTTAATTTCATTTTTAGAAACAACTAATTATTTACATTGGTAATGTATCCTGCAACCTTGGAAATAAGCTTACTATTACTACTGGTATTTTTCTATATTCCTTAGGACTTCCTGAATAAATGATCACGTCATCTGCAGTAAAAATAGTTTTACTTTTTCTCTTCCATCCTGTCTTTATTCTTCTTGGCTTACTGCAGAGCCTAGAACCTCAGTACAAATTTGAATAGAAGTGGTGAGAAAAGGCATTCTTGCATTATTGTTGATCTTATGGGAAAAGCATTTAGTCTTTTTGAAATTATCATATTAGCTACAGGTTTTTCCTAGATGTCCTCTACTAGGTTGAGGAGGCTCCCTTTTATTCCCAGTTTGTTAATAGGTTTTATCATGAATGGTTGTTGGATTTTGTCAATGCTTTTTCCTCTTCTATTGAGATGATCATATACTTTTTCTCCTTTACTCCAAGAATGTGGCTAATAACATTGATTAGTGAATCAATTTTACTTCCTAGGGTAAATGCATTTAGTCATAGTGTATTATACTTTTTAAATATCATACTATTTTGATTGCAATATTTGTTAAGGATTTTTGCATCTATGTTAATGAACACATAGGTCTGTAGTTTTCTTTTCTCATAATTCCTTTGACTGGTTACAATATCATGCAAAGAAGCAAGAAAGTATGGCCCATGCACAGAAGAAAATTAGCAGAAACAGTTCAGGAGGAAGCACAGGCATTGGACTTACTGAAAGAAAATTTCAAATAAACTGTCTTGAATACACTCAGAGAGCTAAAAAGAACCACTGAGAAAGAGCTAAAGAAAACCAGAAGAATAACGTCACAACAAATAGAAAATATCAATAAGGAGACAGAAATTAGAAACAGAAATCAAACAGAAATTCTAGCCCTGAAAAGTATAATAACTGAAAAAAAAATTTCATTAGAGAACTTCAATTGTAGATTTGAGCTATCAGAAAAAACAATTAGTGAACATGAAGATAGGTCAATCAAAATTGTCAAAAAAAAAAAAAAAAGAGTAAAGAAAAGTGAACACAACCTAAGGGGACCTGTGGGACATCATCAAGTGAGTCAATATAAACATTATGAGAATTCCAGCAGCAGAAGAGAAAGAGAAAGGGGCAGAAAGAATATCTGAAAAAAAAAATAGCCAATAATATCCCCCAATTTGAAGAAAGACACAAATCTAAAAACTTCAAGAAGTTCAATGAACTCAAATAACACACACTCAAAATGATCCACACCAAAACATAGCATAATCAAACTGTTGAAAAACAGACAAGAGAGAAACTTGACAGCACCAACAGAGAAGCCAGTTACCACCATACTAAAAATCCTCAATAAATTAACAGCTAATTTCTCATCAGTAACTATGGAGGACAAAAGGCAATGGAATAACGTATTTAAGATGCTGAAAGAAAAAAAAAATCAACCAAGAATTCTATGTCTGGCAAAACTGTCCTTCAAAAATGAGAGAGAAATTAAGACGTTGCCAGACAAACAACAGCTGAAGGAGTGTGTTACCACTAGCTCTGCCCAACAAGAAATGCCAAAGAGAGTCTTTTAGGTTGAAGTAAAAGAACACTAGATAGTAACTCAAAGCCATACAAAGAAACAGAGATCACTGGTAAAGGTAAATACATGGGCAAACACATAAGAAGGTATTATTGTACTTTTTGTTCACACCCACACATTTTTATTTCCCATACACTTCAAAGAAAAACATAAAAAATAATTATAACTCTATGTTACAGAGCACCCAGTGTAAAAAGATGCAATTTGTGACAACACCACCTTAATGGGGAGAGGACAGAGCTGTAATGGAGAAGAGTTTTTGTATGCTATTGAGGTTAAGTTGGTATCGATTCGAAACACAATATTATAAATTTAGAATGTTAAATGTAATTGACATTTAACATTTGATTCCATTGTGGTTGGAGAAGATTCTTTATATGATTTCACTCTTTTAGTAACCATAAAGACCATAAAGAAAATATCTAAAAGTATACACAAGAAATTACAAAGGAATCAAAATGATTCATTCCAAAACATCAACTACACACAAAAAGAGGCAGTAATAGAGAAAATATGAGACAAAAAGTATAAGATATACAGAAAGCAAACAGCAAAATGGGAGAAGTAAGTCCTTCCTTGTCAGTAATTACTTTAAATGTCAATGGATCAAACCATCCAATCAAAAGGCACAGATTGGCACAATGGATAAAAATATATTATCCAACTATATGCTGTCTACAAGAGACTCACTTAGATCCAAGTACACAAATAGCCAGAAAGTGAAAGGATGGGAAAAGACATTCTATGAAAACAGTAATCACAACAGAAGTGGCTATACTGATTTCAAACAAAAGACTTTAAAGGAAAAATTGTAACCAAAGGCAAAAAAGTCATCATATAAAATGAAAGGGAGAATTCATTAGGAAGATATAACCATTATAAACATATATACACCAAACAGTAGAGTCCCAACATATGTGAATAAAACACTGAAAAAATAGTATAAACAGTAATAGTAGGACAATTTCCAGGACAGACCATGTTAGGCAACAA